TCGAATCCGAGGTCGTTTTATATGTATGTGATTCCGTTTATGATGTAGATCTAATTACTTAGCGAAAAATTGCAAAACTAGGTGTTTTTTGCGACTTTAAGGTGCTAAAAATCCATTTTTACTATCGATGGCTACATGAGAGTGGAGCTTTGCGCAATGAGGTAATTTGGGACGCTGAATATGAATATCATGGTGAAAACTTTCTTAAGTGTTATCAGATATAATTTAGGGTGAAAAGTTGACTAGAAACTATTTTTCCGGGCTAGCCGTAAATTCTAGCGATGTATCGACATCGAATTTAAAATCTACGCACCCGATTTGCCCAGAAAACAAGTATCCATCTCGATCATAGATGCGCAACGGTTTTTAGAAATTTTTTATTAGTCGTTTTTTGACAAAGTTGAATTCTTGCCAGTATCTTGAAAACGAGGCATTTTCGGACGGAGTGGGCCATGGATTCGGTTTCAGCGACCCAAAAAGCGTATTATAAGATATGTTGCGTTCACGTTCCCGACTGACCCATTTTGTGACTTTTTGGTAAGAATACCCCTATACATGGTCATTATATGTTAAAATGCTTTAAATGCGGTTCAAATGACCCTTATTCCACGTATTTTGGGCTGCCCATATCGAATCCGAGGTCGTTTTATATGTATGTGATTCCGTTTATGATGTAGATCTAATTACTTAGCGAAAAATTGCAAAACTAGGTGTTTTTTGCGACTTTAAGGTGCTAAAAATCCATTTTTACTATCGATGGCTACATGAGAGCGGAGCTTTGCACAATGAGGTAATTTGGGACGCCGAATATGAGTATCATGGTGAAAACTTTCTTAAGTGTTATCAGATGGAATTTAGGGTGAAAAGTTGACTAGAAACTATTTTTCCGGGCTAGCCGAAAATTCTAGCGATGTATCGACATCGAATTTGAAATCTACGCACCCGATTTGCCCAGAATACAAGTTTCCATCTCGATCGTAGACGCGCAACGGTTTTTAGAAATTTTTTATTAGTCGTTTTTTGACAAAGTTGAATTCTTGCCAGTATCTTGAAAACGAGGCATTTTCGGACGGAGTGGACCATGGATTCGGTTTCAGCGACCCAAAAAGCGTATTATAAGATATGTTGCGTTCACGTTCCCGACTGACCCATTTTGTGACTTTTTGGTAAGAATACCCCTATACATGGTCATTATATGTTAAAATGCGTTAAATGCGGTTCAAATGACACTTATTCCACGTATTTTGGGCTGCCCATATCGAATCCGAGGTCGTTTTATATGTATGTGATTCCGTTTATGATGTAGATCTAATTACTTAGCGAAAAATTGCAAAACTAGGTGTTTTTTGCGACTTTAAGGTGCTAAAAATCCATTTTTACTATCTGTGGCTACATGAGAGCGGAGCTATGCACAATGAGGTAATTTGGGACGCTGAATATGAATATCATGGTGAAAACTTTCTTAAGTGTTATCAGATGGAATTTAGGGTGAAAAGTTGACTAGAAACTATTTTTCCGGGCTAGCCGTAAATTCTAGCGATGTATCGACATCGAATTTGAAATCTACGCACCTGATTTGCCCAGAAAACAAGTTTCCATCTCGATCATAGACGCGCAACGGTTTTTAGAAATTTTTTATTAGTCGTTTTTTGACAAAGTTGAATTCTTGCCAGTATCTTGAAAACGAGGCATTTTCGGACGGAGTGGGCCATGGATTCGGTTTCAGCGACCCAAAAAGCGTATTATAAGATATGTTGCGTTCACGTTCCCGACTGACCCATTTTGTGACTTTTTGGTAAGAATACCCCTATACATGGTCATTATATGTTAAAATGCGTTAAATGCGGTTCAAATGACCCTTATTCCACGTATTTTGGGCTGCCCATATCGAATCCGAGGTCGTTTTATATGTATGTGATTCCGTTTATGATGTAGATCTAATTACTTAGCGAAAAATTGCAAAACTAGGTGTTTTTTGCGACTTTAAGGTGCTAAAAATCCATTTTTACTATCTATGGCTACATGAGAGCGGAGCTTTGCACAATGAGGTAATTTGGGACGCTGAATATGATATGATATGGTGAAAACTTTCTTAAGTGTTATCAGATGGAATTTAGGGTGAAAAGTTGACTAGAAACTATTTTTCCGGGCTAGCCGTAAATTCTAGCGATGTATCGACATCGAATTTGAAATCTACGCACCCGATTTGCCCAGAAAACAAGTTTCCATCTCGATCATAGACGCGCAACGGTTTTTAGGAATTTTTTATTAGTCATCTTTTGACAAAGTTGAATTCTTGCCAGTATCTTGAAAACGAGGCTTTTTCGGACGGAGTGGGCCATGGATTCGGTTTCAGCGACCCAAAAAGCGTATTATAAGATATGTTGCGTTCACGTTCCCGACTGACCCATTTTGTGACTTTTTGGTAAGAATACCCCTATACATGGTCATTATATGTTAAAATGCTTTAAATGCGGTTCAAATGACCCTTATTCCACGTATTTTGGGCTGCCCATATCGAATCCGAGGTCGTTTTATATGTATGTGATTCCGTTTATGATGTAGATCTAATTACTTAGCGAAAAATTGCAAAACTAGGTGTTTTTTGCGACTTTAAGGTGCTAAAAATCCATTTTTACTATCTATGGCTACATGAGAGCGGAGCTTTGCACAATGAGGTAATTTGGGACGCTGAATATGAATATCATGGTGAAAACTTTCTTAAGTGTTATCAGATGGAATTTAGGGTGAAAAGTTGAATAGAAACTATTTTTCCGGGCTAGCCGTAAATTCTAGCGATGTATCGACATCGAATTTAAAATCTACGCACCCGATTTGCCCAGAAAACAAGTTTCCATCTCGATCATAGACGCGCAACGGTTTTTAGAAATTTTTTATTAGTCGTTTTTTGACAAAGTTGAATTCTTGCCAGTATCTTGAAAACGAGGCATTTTCGGACGGAGTGGGCCATGGATTCGGTTTCAGCGACCCAAAAAGCGTATTATAAGATATGTTGCGTTCACGTTCCCGACTGACCCATTTTGTGACTTTTTGGTAAGAATACCCCTATACATGGTCATTATATGTTAAAATGCTTTAAATGCGGTTCAAATGACCCTTATTCCACGTATTTTGGGCTGCCCATATCGAATCCGAGGTCGTTTTATATGTATGTGATTCCGTTTATGATGTAGATCTAATTACTTAGCGAAAAATTGCAAAACTAGGTGTTTTTTGCGACTTTAAGGTGCTAAAAATCCATTTTTACTATCGATGGCTACATGAGAGCGGAGCTTTGCGCAATGAGGTAATTTGGGACGCTGAATATGAATATCATGGTGAAAACTTTCTTAAGTGTTATCAGATGGAACTTAGGGTGAAAAGTTGACTAGAAACCATTTTTCCGGGCTAGCCGTAAATTCTAGCGATGTATCGACATCGAATTTGAAATCTACGCACCCGATTTGCCCAGAAAACAAGTTTCCATCTCGATCATAGACGCGCAACGGTTTTTAGAAATTTTTTATTAGTCATTTTTTGACAAAGTTGAATTCTTGCCAGTATCTTGAAAACGAGGCATTTTCGGACGGAGTGGGCCATGGATTCGGTTTCAGCGACCCCAAAAGCGTATTATAAGATATGTTGCGTTCACGTTCCCGACTGACCCATTTTGTGACTTTTTGGTAAGAATACCCCTATACATGGTCATTATATGTTAAAATGCTTTAAATGCGGTTCAAATGACCCTTATTCCACGTATTTTGCGCTGCCCATATCGAATCCGAGGTCGTTTTATATGTATGTGATTCCGTTTATGATGTAGATCTAATTACTTAGCGAAAAATTGCAAAACTAGGTGTTTTTTGCGACTTTAATGTGCTAAAAATCCATTTTTACTATCTATGGCTACATGAGAGCGGAGCTTTGCACAATGAGGTAATTTGGGACGCTGAATATGAATATCATGGTGAAAACTTTCTTAAGTGTTATCAGATGGAATTTAGGGTGAAAAGTTGACTAGAAACTATTTTTCAGGGCTAGCCGTAAATTCTAGCGATGTATCGACATCGAATTTGAAATCTACGCACCTGATTTGCCCAGAAAACAAGTTTCCATCTCGATCATATGGTGGCTTCTCACTACGCGTGCTACTACGCGTCGCGCCGCTCCACGCGCAAGAACACGCCACGCGACACGCCGCGCCACCCGTTTGTGCGGCGCGGCGCGGCGCGTGCCTTCTGGCTTTACACCTCAGTTTGATTCAGTCTGTTTAGCGCAGCGCACTATGTCTTGTGAGTCGAATTGCCACCTCCAGCCATGGAGCAATGCCACTGAAGAAGAAGGCATGGCTGTTGCATCAGCCGTTTTTGTCTTATTTTGTGGATATCGTTTACTTAATAAAATTAACAAAAACAAGAAGAGGAGACGCTGGTGGATGTCAACGTTCAATAAGAGCCGGTCAAGGTAATCATTGTTTGTATTTTGAGATAATTACATAGGTACGTAATTTTTAAGAATCCTATCAATATATTTGATGGTATCTATTGGTAAGTTTGGCGCGTTTTAAAATGAAACTTTGCTGCCGGAAAATTTAGTAAAAATTATTGTATTTTTGTTTCAGATACAATGGATCAGATATGCTATCGGATTTTGTTAAAGAACCGAGCAGAAAATTTGAGAACTTCTGTAGAATGGCACCAGAAGATTACAACTATCTAATGAATAAAATAGGCCCTATCATTGCAAAACAAGATACCCATATGAGAAAATGTATTCCAGTACAAGAACGGTTTGCAATTGCTCTCAGATTTTTAGCAACCGGAGATAGTTACACAAGCCTTTCATATCTTTTCAAAGTATCTATCCAAACAGTTTCAAGTTGTGTCACGGACGTTTGTAAAGCATTGATAAAAGAACTATCACAAGAAATAAAAGTAAGTAGTAGAATTAAGCATTTATTTTTTTCAAATCGTAAACAAATAGAAATTGACATCATCCATTTAAAATAAATTACTACCCTCCTCTTCATAGAAATCTTTTAATAGACTTTGCGAAGCTGATGTTTCGACTTGCGACAGCTGTGGAGATGGATAGTTTGGGGATGGCTGTGGAGAAGATAATGAATGATAGGTTGGGGATGGCTGTGAAGAAGGCGATGGATGATAGGTTGGGGATGGCTGTGGAGAAGGCGATGGATGATAGTTTGGGGATGACTGTGAAGAAGGCGATGGATGATAGGTTGGGGATTGCTGTGGAGAAGGCGATGGATGATAGTTTGGGGATGACTGTGAAGAAGGCGATGGATGATAGTTTGGGGATGACTGTGAAGAAGGCGATGGATGATAGGTTGGGGATTGCTGTGGAGAAGGCGATGGATGATAGTTTGGGGATGACTGTGAAGAAGGCGATGGATGATAGGTTGGGGATTGCTGTGGAGAAGGCGATGGATGATAGTTTGGGGATGACTGTGAAGAAGGCGATGGATGATAGGTTGGGGATGGCTGTGGAGAAGGCGATGGATGATAGGTTGGGGATGGCTGTGGAGAAGGCGATGGATGATAGTTTGGGGATGACTGTGAAGAAGGCGATGGATGATAGGTTGGGGATTGCTGTGGAGAAGGCGATGGATGATAGTTTGGGGATGACTGTGAAGAAGGCGATGGATGATAGGTTGGGGATTGCTGTGGAGAAGGATATGGATGGCAGGATGTGGATGGCTGATAGTAGAGATTGCCGGAATGTCCAAAATTCGTGGGCTGTGGTGGGTTGATTAGTATTTGTGCATGTGGGTTTGACGATAGTTCTTTTTGCTTCAGATTGAAAATCAATCTATCAATTTCCAACATCGCTATTTCACGTGTATTTTCTGGTAAGCCTCTCAATTTTTTGCACAATAATTGTGTGTATAATGAACATTCATCTTGCGGGATTTGGGGTTTTTGAGTCATTTGTTTTATATAGTCGTATGCTTCGTTCATTTTATTTTCTATATCAATATTTTTAGCACGTTTTTTAGGAAGAGGTTTTGGTCTTTTAAATTGAACTGATTCTTCATCATCCTGTTTACTATCTTCAGAGGCATCTAAATCACGGTTATCTTCTATTTCTTCTATGTCGTCAGTGACCTAAAAATAAGAAATATTCATGATAATTTACAATATTTCTATTTGTTTTAGCTGCCACGGACATCATCTGACTGGTTAAGGATAGAGAAAGGATTCCGCAGAACTTGGAATTTTCCTCACTGCTTAGGAGCTATCGACGGAAAACATGTGCTAATACAAAGTCCTATTCATAGTGGATCTGAGTTTATCAACTATCACAAAACATTCAGTGTTGTATTAATGGCTTTAGTCGACGCGGATTACAATTTTATTTTTGTGGATTGTGGGTGCCAGGGCCGAATAAGCGATGGTGGTGTATACAGAAACACCAACTTATATAAACAAATCTGTAGAAAGGAATTGGGTTTTCCACCGCCAGACTGCTTACCGCTGAAAGTAACACCTCTACCTTACGTATTTGTTGCAGACAGTGCATTTGCTCTAACGGAAAATATGATGAAACCTTACGCTGGAACTCATAATAAGGGATCTAAAGAACGCGTGTTTAATTACCGCCTTTCACGAGCTCGACGGATTGTTGAAAATGTCTTTGGCATTATGTCTGCGGTGTTTAGAGTACTAATAAAACCCATGCTTTTACAACCAGATATTGTAACTGATATTGTGATGACATGTGCATTGTTACACAATTTTTTGAGACGGTCTAAAAGGTCTAGACTTATATATACCCCTCCTGGATCCTTTGATACCGAAAATGATGATGGCGAGATTCAGCCCGGTTCTTGGCGTGATGACCAAAATGGAGTTGCTTCCCTACTACCACTCCAAAATCGGCCAAGAAGAGCACCTCTTTCCGCCAAGAATATAAGAGACCAGCTTGCAGAATATTTTATAACAAACGGTGCGGTTGCCTGGCAAAATAATTATTAATTTTTTAAGTAAATAAAGTACTTACCTCAGAATCCTTCGTTTTCTTTGGAGTATACACATCATTCAAAAATTGGGCCATCACATTATAAAATGGCCAGTCAGGCTTATAGATTTCATCAGCACCGCTGCCAGACTTTATTGATTGGCAAACTTTACTTCTTAATTTTCTATAGGTTCCCATTAAAGAATCCCTTTTCTTTTTAATTTCTTGTAACGGTATGGTACCACCTTTTAAATTCTGTTTAATTCGCAGCCAGGCATCATGCTGGTCGTTTTTGTTTTTATGCTCCGCATTTTTCGAATTCCACAGAGAGGGTTCGCCTTCATACAAAGTTAAAAATTCGGCGATCGTTTCATTCGGCCACTCCATATTCACCACAGTACCTCAACGTAGGACGAGTCAAAGTGAAATGAACGAGTTCAATCGTGTTCGTCTGTCTGGGTAGGTACACGCCGCGCCGCGCCTTTGAAGTTACCGACTTTTAGCGGATAGGTCGCGCCACGCCGCGCCTGCCCGCGCCAAGCTCTTCACACTGCGCGAGGCGCGTGCCGGCGCGGGTCAACACGCGCAGTGAGAAGCCGGCGGCATTACTGTTCTGGTATGGGCACACCGGCGTATTCAAGGGAGGGATTTGAGGCTCCTCGGAGTTTCCCTTGCCGAAGCGTAACAGCTCATTAGGCTTCTTCTACATATTACAGCATGTTAAACCTTCTGTGAAGTGTGCTACCTGGACTAAGCGAGTTCCCCCCTGCTATGCAGTTTTCTATCTCCACGACCCTGGATCCTGAGCCTCCTCCCAGATCTATTTCTGGATAACACCACTGGTTGGGCAGTATCTCAATCTACAGGAAACGATTACTATCGCGAAATCAACCACAACTGTGGCTCCTACAAATCACTTTTATGGGCACCTTTAAAATTCGGACTAAACTAGGAAATCACATATGAGTAAATTTAATGAATCATAATTGATCATAATTGTTTTTATTAGCATTGGGAGGATTTCTGGAAAAGCAAAAAGTCTATATACTTGGATTTCTGCTTAAAGTGGCTTAACCTACCAGTATCTGTACAAAGTAAGAAGCATGTAGACCAGAAGGCAGTTTTGTATAGACACGGAAAGTGGTTAAACTGAATACCTACTGGTGAAATACTTTTCAGAGCTAATGAAATTAGTTGCAAGAAGGATAAATAGCCAGCGCTAATATGCTCAGCAGCCTGGTTAACTAGTATGCATATTCAGATTCATGATTCCGCCACAACATGATCTGTATGAATATTTTGATGAACAAATCATAATCAACTGTCTCTACCCACACGACGCGAATTCGTACCTAAAATCTCCCAGCGTTTGGAAGCTTCATTCCAGCCAGGGCCTTTGATTTCTTACCTTTCGCCTTTCATTCATACGCAATTGGTCTATAAAATGCTCAAGTTGATGATTCCTTTATTACCAACGGCAGATTTGAGAGTGGAAGGATTTGCGGCGATTTTTAAGATAATGATATATCAATTTTCCTATTTTTAAATCTTCAGAACACAACACTTGAACATACAGAATATGCACACTCCTTGTAAAATCTCTCTAAGAATTCTAGTTGCTAGGCTTAAAACTCTTATTGTTATTGTAACCTGTTTATGGCATTTCCTTTCTGTAATCATTACCGTGTATGTTTAGCTTTTGCTCAGACAGCCGTAAAGGAGATCAAAGAAATAAACCGGCAATAAATTATACAGGAAAAAAGGGGGACGCTCTACATAAGGACAGGTCGCGGAACAAAGTGTTTCTGCTCCCCTGATTACTCATTGCCGACGGCCTGTCTGTTTAATAACTGGTCCCCAAACAGAGAGAGATTGAGAGATGAATTTTTCTATGGTAGGTCAAATATTTGGCACTCAAGCCTAGGTTGCTCAAACAATAAATTATAATCCATCAGCTCATTGTTATAATAAGGTAGTGAGTGGTTCAATAAAAATTCAAATGATTATGGAGTATATATAATATAGTATAAAATAATAAAATAAAACAGTTAATTCCATGCAATTAAAATAAAAATAATATCTTCTAAAATACAAACAAGTAATAAATCAATCTAGAATTCTCAAAAAAAAAACAGTTTCTCTATAAATCCATAAACAAAACTAACAAATAAACAAAAGCATTCTTACAAAAATCTAATACGGGCCACGTAGCATTCTGAAAAAAATACATATTGTTATTCAAAATAGATTTCCTTTATACATACAATGTTTCTATACTATACACTGAAAAAAATCTCCGTCCCATCCCCCAAATTGGGAATATCATTTCAAGGCGAAGCCTGACTAAGTAAGTTTTCAAAGAAGATTTGTGAAAACAGTTTAGCTGCAGTGTGCTGCTTCCAGTGACAAAAAGCACAACACGAAAATGAACAAAATGTGTTTTAGGGTAGTAGAAGAGAGAAGGGGTATCAAATGATTGACAAAATCATTTTTGTATTTTCCGCCATGTTTATGCGATACTTCGAGCAATCATTGTACGGAGCCGATTTTAATGCATGATATATAATAAACACAATACGCTATATAAAATATCTTACCAATATGCGATAGGATGACCTTCTGCGTCTATACAGGATTGCATCCTAGTGCGCATGCTGTCCACCAAGTTTTTGCAGACATCCGTTCCCCGGAAGGATTCCCATAGCCGCCTACAATGGGTGTCGAGATTATCCCGCCTATTGGGGAGCGGTCCGCCAGTGCTCCACTTTTGGACCATTATACCCCACAGGTTTTCTATTGGGTTAAGGTCTGGAGATTTTGCTGGCCAGGCAATGACATTGTAATCCTCTTGTGCAAGATAATTTCGCACCATGTGTGACGTATGAACGGCGGAATTATCTTGTACAAAAGTGATTCTACTTTGTGGATAGAAAATCCGGATGATGGGATAAAACTATTATTTAACATGTCCACATATTGTTGCGAGTTCATTCTGTCTGTAAATAACAAGATCATCTTATGAGGGACCGAGGTATACACAGGGACAAGAAAAGGGAGCTAAAATGCAATATATTTCGGACACCAAGTGCGTGTGTGTCTGTGTGTGTGTAGGTGTGTGTGTATGTGTATGTGTGTGAACATGAAATGAACAATTTTACTTTGAGGGGAAACTGAGAACAAAACCTCAAGAATTTTTCATATATGTTTTTACAGTTTCGGGTGATGCTAAAGAAATCACAAAAGTAGATCTCCAAAACTGGGGATTTTCGTGCAATGCATATGTTATATAGAGTCTATTTATTGTATTTTACTGTAATACCCAAAACTCATTTTGTGGTTTGGGTCTGGGCAAACGAAACCACATATGTTTGAATTACTTTTTCACTGACGTTTCGGACACCACGGTGGCTTTTTTGGATATTTTTTAAAATATATAGATTAGAACAAGTAATTTAAAACATAATATATGTGGTTTAGTCTGGTCAGGTAATTATCGAATCTTATTGCATTTTCTGTCCCCTACCAAGTCCTAGGAGGGATATGGTATAATACCAGTAATCTTTCATAAAAATTAGCTTTTCCAAGAAATTATCCGATATCAACAAAACCATCTATTGTGATCATTATTTAGATGTTAGCAATTTTATACTGTTACTTAAAAGCCTACTGCAGTGACACAACTTAGTCGTAAAAAAATACTCAAAAGCAAGAGCTGCTATTTTGAATTTTGATGCAACGCATTCGGTAATTCCAAATGGTTTTGTATTTTAATATAACCCTTATGGGTGGTGCAATGCCGGAAACAATCAATTGTGCAAGGAGTAAAATAGATATACTCGTAAAATAATGAGCACGCAGCGCTACGACGAAGTCGATCAAGTGGTTCCACTAGCAGCTCTTGCTAACTTTAGAAAAGTATAGTTGTAACTTAATTATCTCTTACCAGTTATACTAACTAAATCCCCTGGTCCATCCGCCGTCATCCACCCCCAGTATCCCATTGTCGTCCGACCCGTGGTTCTGTTGGGGATTATGTTTGCTGGGTCGTATCTAGTGTTGTTCCGACGCCATAGCGGCGGTCGGTAATCCGTATTAGTACAAAAAAATTTTTCATCGGAGAAGACTACGGTGCTCCAGTCCCTATTCAGGTTCTCCTGGCAGAACTGTAGTCTTCTCCTTCTATGATCCTCAGTGAGCAATGGCTTCACTGCCGGTATCCTTCTGTGGATGCCTTCCTTGTGCAGATATCTACCCACTGTCGTTCTATGACACTGTAGCCCCAGTCTATCTCGCATTGCGAGCGCACTACAAAACCTATTTTCGTCATTGAACGCAATCAGCCTGCTCACGTCTTCATTTGATAAGACGTTGCGTCTGTGGACATTTGACCTGTCGGTTTCCAAACTGCCACCTTCCCTATTCCGCCTAATCCAGTTTTGGACTTGTCTTAGCTGTACATGGTCATTATATGTTAAAATGCTTTAAATGCGGTTCAAATGACCCTTATTCCACGTATTTTGGGCTGTCCATATCGAATCCTAGGTCGTTTTATATGTATGTGATTCCGTTTATGATGTAGATCTAATTACTTAGCGAAAAATTGCAAAACTAGGTGTTTTTTGCGACTTTAAGGTGCTAAAAATCCATTTTTACTATCTATGGCTACATGAGAGCGGAGCTTTGCACAATGAGGTAATTTGGGACGCTGAATATGAATATCATGGTGAAAACTTTCTTAAGTGTTATCAGATGGAATTTAGGGTGAAAAGTTGACTAGAAACTATTTTTCCGGGATAGCCGTAAATTCTAGCGATGTATCGACATCGAATTTGAAATCTACGCACCCGATTTGCCCAGAAAACAAGTTTCCATCTCGATCATAGACGCGCAACGGTTTTTAGAAATTTTTTATTAGTCGTTTTTTGACAAAGTTGAATTCTTGCCAGTATCTTGAAAACGAGGCATTTTCGGACGGAGTGGGCCATGGATTCGGTTTCAGCGACCCAAAAAGCGTATTATAAGATATGTTGCGTTCACGTTCCCGACTGACCCATTTTGTGACTTTTTGGTAAGAATACCCCTATACATGGTCATTATATGTTAAATTGCTTTAAATGCGGTTCAAATGACCCTTATTCCACGTATTTTGGGCTGCCCATATCGAATCCGAGGTCGTTTTATATGTATGTGATTCCGTTTATGATGTAGATCTAATTACTTAGCGAAAAATTGCAAAACTAGGTGTTTTTTGCGACTTTAAGGTGCTAAAAATCCATTTTTACTATTGATGGCTACATGAGAGCGGAGCTTTGCACAATGAGGTAATTTGGGTCGCTGAATATGAATATCATGGTGAAAACTTTCTTAAGTGTTATCAGATGGAATTTAGGGTGAAAAGTTGACTAGAAACTATTTTTCCGGGCTAGCCGTAAATTCTAGCGTTGTATCGACATCGAATTTGAAATCTACGCACCCGATTTGCCCAGAAAACAAGTTTCCATCTCGATCATAGACGCGCAACGGTTTTTAGAAATTTTTTATTAGTCTTTGACAAAGTTGAATTCTTGCCAGTATCTTGAAAACGAGGCATTTTCGGACGGAGTGGGCCATGGATTCGGTTTCAGCGACCCAAAAAGCGTATTATAAGATATGTTGCGTTCACGTTCCCGACTGACCCATTTTGTGACTTTTTGGTAAGAATACCCCTATACATGGTCATTATATGTTAAAATGCTTTAAATGCGGTTCAAATGACCCTTATTCCACGTATTTTGGGCTGGCCATATCGAATCCGAGGTTGTTTTATATGTATGTGATTCCGTTTGTGATGTAGATCAATCAATTACTTAGCGAAAAATTGCAAAACTAGGTGTTTTTTGCGACTTTAAGGTGCTAACAATCCATTTTACTATCGATGGCTACATGAGAGCGGAGCTTTCCACAATGAGGTAATTTGGGGCGCTAAACTCTTTATAATTAAATATTATTTAGCTGTTTTCACTTTCGCAGAGGTGGATACTTGTAATAGATGGTACTTTCTGCTGCCTTATTTCGTGACACACATGTGTTAAGCACTAGTCACTGTTGCTAATTTCAAATTAGTCGTGTTCTTACCGAAAACCTGTGCGGATTTTAGATATTTTGTTGCATATAAACCACTACCCTTCCTTTAAAACAGATGAATATTAAGCTTATGTGAGGTACCGTTCACAAATGATATAACCGAGTTTTATAAATTTTTAATTTTTTTTACATGTACTATTTAAACAGATACATAAAATAAAAAAAAAAATCTTTGTTGCCCAGAATCGAACCTCGAGACATTTGGGTACTGACCCGAACATCTAACCGTTATGCTAAACAGACAGTTGAGAATTATGTTCAGAAACATCTACATACCCGTAACGAACCTTGACCAGCTGCCGAGTTGAAACGGCAATCGAACAATTTGATTTTGGCCGAGATGAAAGTTTAGCAGCCGTCGCGCAACGACCGACGTACGACGGCAACAGCGCAATTGTGCACAAGTTGGAACATTTCAATAGGTTTGCTTTCAAAAGGCATATTGTACGTGCACAATATGACAACCTCAGAAAATTTAAACCGTGTGACATTTGACGTTGAATGATAAACATTTCGTTTCATCGTTTTGAAAAATAGTGTTATGAGTTTTGATTTTTAATCTGGTATTTTAATTTGTTCATGGTGATACAGTATTAAAACGTAAGTATATGAAATGGTGTGAGGGAGAAATTCTAAGTTAACTGCTGTGTCATTTAAGTGATTCCGTTCAATAACCAGGCCACTGAAGCGGTGACACATTTGAAGAATTTTATTAGTATTTGAAGATCATACCTGTGAGAATAATCACAAGTCTGAAGTTTGGATGTGATCTAACCAATGTAAGTTTTTAAAGTATTCAATAACCAGTGATAAAAATGGTGTAAATCAGCTATTTTCAGGGCAGCATCTCTGATGTAGTTTCAGTAAATTGAAAGCTATGCTAACACTTTAAAATAATAATAATGTTTATTGGTGTATTCATACATAATCGAATCAAAGTTTGAGCAAATAATATAACCCAACAAAATGCTCCAAAGGGCTTCACCCCAGCCTGAATAGCTGAGGTAAATAAAATGATTCATTAACTGCATTACTATATCTTACTAAGTAGGGCATATCATATACATCACATAAATAACATGTAGCTGACAATAATAATACTAATAAAACTGTAAAATATAATAATATTTTAATAATGAGATCTATTCAACCACCTGTAGATTCATTAAGTTGTAACTGTAAAATCCTAAATAGTACAACAGAGCATAGAGAAGAAACGAGCAATATTTGAAATAGCTGAGATGCATGTCACTAGAAATCTTTGAACATTGAGATATCTTGATAACTGATAGTCAACATAGAATATAGATTGGAGTTAGGAAAGTCCACCTTGGTTATTTTGAGTATTGTGTAGAGCATATATTTCAATGAGAATGGTTTTAGTGTGAAAAAAGCTCAAATCATATCAGATTTTTGCAATTAAAAAAATAAGTAATAATACATTTATTTCCAGCAGCTTACACCCAATCACAGGATATCCTGTGGCATGATTTTAAGCGTCTTGTAATAGTGTCCCCTACTAACTTTGTTAATTCGATGTCTTATTTTCGTTTTACTGTGCCTCCATAGATGTTACCTTAATTTCATCATATCTTCCCAACAAAGAATGATCTACTCAAGATGTTTTCAATAGAACATTGAAATCACACATATCGTATATACTGAACTACATCTAATGTTTTATGCACCTTTCATTATGAACGTGAAATGAAGCTGAAAAGGGGCTCATGAATATTAATGGTTGGAAGTCAATGGTACATTTGATTTTCGAATCCTAAGATAATTTAATTGTACAGCTAATGGTCCAGAACCACACGGTGGACAGACCCGCAGTCATGTGCCCACAACCCAAATCTGCAAAGATGAAGCCTTGCAACACCAAATGCTACATTGAGGACATTGATTCAGCATGACTAAAGGAAGAAGAAGAAGAAGGTTTCGTTGAGAATCAGTGGAGCAGCCACTGTCTTTATTGGGACTGCAATCAAGATGAAATGTCCAATCAGAAGGTCAGTATCCATGTATCTGTGACTGTTTCCCTCGTCTTAATCTCTACCAATCACAAACGGGCAATTTTTACTTACAAATGGGGATTCCAGATTGAAAAGTTGTATGACAACACCTGTCAACAGTTTTTTTGATGTACCCGCAGAAAAAGTTGATAGCTGTTGTCACAAAAAACTACTATACCTTTGATAACTAGTAATTCGGGTCTCCTAGGGCACCAGAAATAATCTGTTACTCATGAAATAGTCCTGTGAAATTCCATTCGGACATCTAACTTTTTCCTGTGAAAAAAATCGCAAAAACAGATTGCAAAGTAATATATTTCATATCGAAAATATACTAAGTGACATATAAATCCGAACACCCAGTTTAAATGGTTTTATTTTAATAAAATTTTGTATAAGTACTTAATGAAGCATAATAAGTAAATGATAAAAATTTCAAAATGATTGCACTGCCTTAAAGCCCTTTGACCTTTAATAATGTGTGGATGCACCCTGATGTGCTACGCATTCTCCAACGCGCCTAGGCATGCTTCTGATCAGGTGGTCAATGTCCTCCTGTGGTATCTCATTCCAGGCAACCACCAACTCCTCTCGAAGTGCTTCTAGAGTCTGAGGAGGACGTTGCAAATTGAGCAATCTCCTACCCATCATATCCCACACGTGCTCAATTGGGGATAAGTCGAGAGATCTTGGTGGCCATGGTAACAATGTGACATCATTATGTTGAAAGAAGTCTATTGTGACTCTTGCAACATGTGGTCGGGCATTATCTTGTTGGAAAGTTGGATCTGCCAGGGTTTCAAGATAGGGTAAAAGATGGGGTTCTAGAACTTCGTGGATATAACGCTGCGCGTTCATGTTACCTCTGATGAAGATTAAAGGTGACCTGGAACCATAAGCTATAGCACCCCAAACCATAACTCCAACAGTGTGATGAACATGTCTTTCAACAAAAAACTGTGGATTCCTCCTTTCACCACGTCGCCTTCTAACCCTGGCACGACCATCGTGCATGCCTAAACAAAATCGAGACTCGTCACTAAAGACAATACTGTTCCATTCCTGATCCCAGAGTGACCGTTGTCTGCACCACTCAAGGCGATTACGTCGGTGTTCTCGAGTTAAAGGGAGGACCCAGTGTGGCCGGTATGAAAACAAGCCAAAACTTCTCATTCGTCGGTAAACACTTCGGATGCCAATAGGTCTTCCGTGTTCTGCAAACCATTCATTTGCAATGGACCTGGTAGT